TTGGTTATATGAATTGAATTTATATTCAATTAAAGATTTCTTGCTGTTGTGCAATACACTGTGCTGTTGCGCAATACTTAGTAAATCTGTTGTCAGACTATAAACAATTAAAGTTCAATTAATTCTCAATGTCATATTAGAAATTTATGAAAATGTAAAGGGAGCTTACATCAATAGATATAAACAATTCATCAAAGTTTCATGAGAATTGCTGACAGCATTTTTGAGTTATTGTCCGAAAACTGGAAAATCCCCCCTTTTTTAATGAATAAAACCCCATAACTCAGAAATGTAAAATGTAAAATTTATAAAATTCTAAACGGAGCTAACATCAATAGATGTAAACAATTCACCAAAGTTTTATAAGAACTGCTGAGAGCATTTTTGATTTTTTGTCCAAAAACTGGAAAATCCCCCTTTTTTATGAATAAAACCCTGTAACTCGGAAACATAAAATCTAAAATATATAAAAATCAAAAGGGAGCTCATGTCAATAGATATAAACAATTCACCACAATTTCTTGCAAGTTGGTGAAAGCATTCTTGAGTAATTGTCCATAAACTGGAAAATCCCCCTTTTTTTAATGAATAAAACCCCATAACTCGGAAATGTAAAATCTAAAATTTATAAAAAACGAAAGGGAGCTCACGTCAATAGATATAAACAATTCACCAAAGTTTTATGCAAATTGGTTAAAGCGTTTTTGAGTTAATGTCCGACATGTTGACGACGGACGGACAGACAGACGGACAGACGGACAGACGGACAACGGTATACCATAATACGTCCCGTAAACGGGCGTATAAAAATGCTTGTTTTTTGGCCCCTTTTTGGCCCCAAATTCCTAAACGTTTAGGGCAATTACCCCCAAACTCAAACCCAGCTTTCCCTTTGTGATATGGAACCTTGCAGTACAATTTCATAAAGATCCACACACTTACACACAAGTTATTGTCCTGAAACTAGAAAAAAGCTTGTTTTTTTGCCCTTTTATGGCCCCTAATTACTAAAATTTTGAGGGAATTACCCCCAAAATCTATCCCAGCCTTCCCTTTGTGGTATGGTACCTTGCAGTTCAATTTCAGAGAGATCCATACACTTGAACACAAGTTATTGTCTGGAAACTAGAAAAATGCTTATTTTTGGCCCCTTTTTGGTCCCTTATCTCTAAACTTTTTGGGCAATTACCCCGAAACTCAATTCCAGCTTTCCCTGTGTGATATAGAACCTTGTAGTACAATTTCATAAAGATCCATACACTTACACACAAGTTATTGTCATGAAATTAGAAAAATGCTTGTTTTTTGCCCCTTTTATGGCCCCTAATTACTAAAATTTTGAGGGAATTACCCCCAAAATTAATCCCAGCCTTCCCTTTGTGGTATGGTACCTTGCAGTACAATTTCAGAGAGATCCATGCATTTGAACACAAGTTATTGTCTGGAAACTAGAAAAATGCTTATTTTTGGCCCCTTTTTGGCCCCTTATTTCTAAACTTTTTGGGCAATTACCCCCAAACTCAATTCCAGCTTTCCTTTTGTGATATGGAACCTTGTAGTACAATTTCATAAAGATCCATACACTTACACACAAGTTATTGTCATGAAACTAGAAAAATGCTTGTTTTTTGCCCCTTTTTGGTCCCTAATTCCTAAAATTTGGAGGCAATTACCCCCAAAATCAATCCCAGCATTCCCTTTGTGATATGGAACCTTGTGATACAATGTCAGAGAGATCCATACACTTACACACAAGTTATTGTCTGGAAACTAGAAAAATGCTTGTTTCTTGCCCCTTTTTGGCCCCCAATTCCTAAAATTTGGAGGCAATTACCCCCAACACCAATCCCAGCATTCCCTTTGTGATATGGAACCTTGTGGTACAATGTCAGAGAGATCCATACACTTAAACACAAGTTATGTCTGGAAGTTACAAAAATGCTTATTTTTAGCCCCTTTTTGGTCCCTTATTCCTTAACTGTTGGTACCATAACCCCCAAAATCAATCCCAACCTTCCTTTTGTGGTATTTAACCTTATGGTAAAATTTCATTGAGATCCATTCACTTAAACTAAAATTAGAGTGTGAAAACTAATGTGTCTTCGGACGACAACGCCGGACGACAACGATGCCAACGTCATACCAATATATGACCACAAAAGTTTTTTTGCGGTCGTATAAAAACGAAAGTAAAGTTTTTGACGTTATTTTGCACAAATAAAGAGTCTAAGGCAGATATAAGTACGCTGATGTTGCACACTTCGGATGATGCACTGCCAATTTAACAGTTTACGTCAGAACTTCGAATTTGAATCAAAGAAAGTTTAATATTGTTTTTTTTAAATATCAATCATTGGGATGGCCAACTCAGCAACTGATTACCATTATTGCCTTTTGTTTATTTAGTCTTAAGGGATTAAAATCGGGATAATATATAAAATGTCCAGCTGGCTAAAAATAATTTTGGAAGCCCTGCTCCAAACAGAAAGTAGAAAGGAGTGTTTTTAGATCCATGTAAGTGAAGCATGGACATAGGATCTGTATTTCATTCAGATTGATTTATAGTATCATACTTCCATATGATGACAAAACACATATAATGAGGTTAACAAGCCAAGAGGCTGGAAACTATTTATAATGTACATCCAAATGTATAACTTCAGGGCTCAACTGAGACAATGCTGTCTCAGAATTACTTGTAAACTTAGGCACCTATCTAACAGAGGTGGAGTTAGGGGGGGGGGGCCAGGGGGCCCGGTTTTTTGGGAAAAATTTGGTTGATTATATAGGGAATCACTGAAGCATGACCAGAGCGGGCCCCCTCTTAGTCAGTCAGTGGGCCCCCACTTATGAAAATTTCTGGATCCGCCACTGTCTAAGTTTATACTGTAAATTCAGATATTGCAATGTTTTTTAGTAATGCCAAACCTCAAAAGTATCAACTTACATTTATAATTTCTTAATCACTTCATATAGTTTTTGCAATTACATTCATAAGATTGCATATTTTTGCCAGTGGTCAATGATTCCCAATAATAAATGCACACATGCTCTTTGAATTTACAGTAGTCTAACAACTTTCTTCAACTTCAAAGGAATATCTCAATTATCTGTGCTACTACATGTCCCTATACCTGGGCTATCCCAATTATCTGTACTACTACATGTACCAATACCAATGTCATCCCAATTATCTGTACTACCGTTTAGCGGGTTATTTTTGCGGGGTGTAAATTTTAGCGTATTTTCGTGAATAGAACAAAATCGACAATTTAAAAGTGCACATGCAATGGTATTAATAAAAGATTTGAATCCGCCAAAATAACAACCGCCAAAATATTTTGTATACCTTATTTAATGAAAATCGTGAAATTTTACACCCGCAAAAATAACCTGCTATACGTTACTACATGTCCCAATACCAATTTCATCCCAATTATCTGTACTACTACATGTCCCAATACCAATGTCATCCCAATTATCTGTACTACTACAGGTCACTATACCTGGGTTATCCCAATTATCTGTACTACTACATGTCCCAATACCAATGTCATCCCAATTATCTGTACTACTACATGTCCCAATACCAATGTCATCCCAATTATCTGTACTACTACATGTCCCTAAACCTGGGTTATCCCAATTATCTGTACTACTACATGTCCCAATACCAATGTCATCCCAATTATCTGTACTACTACATGTCCCAATACCAATGTCATCCCAATTATCTGTACTACTACATGTCCCTAAACCTGGGTCATCCCAATTATCATTACTACTACAAGTCCCAATACCTGGCTTATCTCAATTATCTGTACTACTACATGTCCCAATACCTGGGTTATCCCAATTATCTGTACTACTACATGTACCAATACCAATGTCATCCCAATTATCTGTACTACCGTTTAGCGGGTTATTTTTGCGGGGTTTAAATTTTCGCGTATTTTCGTGAATAGAACAAAATTGCCAATTTAAAAGTGCACATGCAATGGTATTGATAAAAGATTTGAATCCGCCAAAATAATAACCGCCAAAATATTTTGTTTACCTTATTTAATGAAAATCGTGAAATTTTACACCCGCAAAAATAACCTGCTATACGTTACTACATGTCCCAATACCAATGTCATCCCAATTATCTGTACTACTTCATGTCCCAATACCAATGTCATCCCAATTATCTGTACTACTACATGTCCCAATACCTGGGTTATCCCAATTATCTGTACTACTACATGTCCCAATACCAATGTCATCCCAATTATCTGTACTACTACATGTCCTAATACCAATGTCATCCCAATTATCTGTACTACTACATGTCCCTATACCTGGGTCATCCCAATTATCTGTACTACTACATGTCCCTATACCTGGGTTATCCCAATTATCTGTACTACTACATGTCCCAACACCAATGTCATCCCAATTATCTGTACTACTACATGTCCCAATACCAATGTCATCCCAATTATCTGTACTACTACATGTCCTAATACCAATGTCATCCCAATTATCTGTACTACTACATGTCCCTATACCTGGGTCATCCCAATTATCTGTACTACTACGTCCCTATACCTGGGTTATCCCAATTATCTGTACTACTACATGTCCCAATACCAATGTCATCCCAATTATCTGTACTACTACATGTCCCAATACCAATGTCATCCCAATTATCTGTACTACTACATGCCCCTATACCTGGGTTATCCCAATTATCTGTACTACTACATGTCCCAATACCAAGACTATTTATGTAATCACTGATAAATATATATATCTTAATTCTAGTTGTATAGATACACCAAAGATAAACTTAGATGAAAGTTGTCATTAACCACAGTCTTGAAGTTGTAAAAAACATTTTAAAAAAATCTCTAAACCCAAACTTAATATTTATGGGTGTAAGTTAACTTTTGTGGAATGAATTAATAGTTATACTTGATTTTGATTTTTTGTAAATTCATGTTTACAAAAGTACATACCTCAATCTCAGAGTTTATAAATTCCATGTCCAGCAATCAAAATCAACTGTATCGAAATTATTAACTGTGGTCATTTCATCTTCATAGAGTAGCCGAATACTTTACAACCAACTCATCTTTCATTTATTGCCTCTTAACTTTCAGGTAAAATCACTGTACAAATATAAATAAGGTATTAAAAGGTATGTGACCTAAATACTGCATAAATAGTGTCAGATGTATTTATATCCATTTATAATAAAATGGAAACAGATTAAAGATAGATACACACTTTAGCTTTAAGTTCTTATCTTCTTGACATGGGTTATTTTTGGTTTATATAGGAAACTTTTACTGGTTCCATGATACTGTATATATAATTAAATTCAGGCCATTTCCTTTAAATCCAAATCAAAAGAAAACAAGACAGGTTGACTTTAACAATAAATAAAATTCAGAGTGAACATGCTAATCCACCTTCTGTGGGTTTTATAAAATACCAAAGTCTCGGGTTCTAAAAATATTGAAGAAAGCTGAAAAGTTCACCCAAAACCAAATGTCTTACAGTACACATCTACAGTCTATGTGCATCCAAATGTCCTACAGTACATATGTACAGTCCATGAACATATACAATGTCACATTAAGTAGTAATGAGTTCTACTAAAGTTAATACTATTGACCATCTTAAGCATCCTCTTACAATTGATGAAGACCTATACATGTATCAAATATAAACAAGATATTTCTTATCTGCTTTACTGTTTAAAATGTTTAACTACTGGTATCAATAGACTTACCATTATAAAGGATCCATCAAACTGAGAAATGGACTGAACCAAAATTATTCAAATTGAAAGGAAGCTTTCATCTGTCAATCCTAAAGTTATGTTGGGAATTACATGAGAATTGGTTGAAGTAAATTTGAGTTACAAATGTATTGTAGGAAGTCCGACAGACATTGGTAGACCATAATATGTCCTGTCTTTGACTGGCTTATAAAACATATACAGCTTTTATAAGCAGTTTCTGAAACATTAAAAACAAAATTCAAACTTGATCTGTGTTTTGTGGTAATGAGCATTGTGTATAAGTTTCATAACATTTGGTTGAGGCAAACTTAAGTTAGAGAACGGAAACTAAAAATTTTGCAATATTTCCTTTTATAAAGGGGCATAACTCTAGATCGGTTATAGTGACGCCACCAAAATTCAAACCTGATCTATGTTTTGTGGTAATAAGCATTGTGTATAAGTTTCATAACATTTGGTTGAGGCAAACTCAAGTTAGAGAACGGAAACCAATTTCGGGACGTACTGACGGACGTACGTACGTACATACATACGTACAGACGGACAAGGGTAAAACTTAATGCCCCCTCCGCTACGGCGGGGGCATAAAAAGGTCAAGCAGAAGTTTGGCAGTAGATATAATTAAGTTAACAACAATAGTAAAATCAATACCTATTGAATATAAATCATCCCAAAAGTCAAACCAGATCAAACAACAGTCAAATTTTGTAAAAGTAAAGAAAACACATTTACAAAGGCGTGATGATTATAGGTCACTAATGTGTTTAACCATTAATTTCTATTTGTGCCAAGAACATTTTTGCAACTTTGAAATGGATGTTTCGCTCTTAGATCCCCAAACAATATGTCAGTTCAACTTCTCAAAGTTGATATTTTTCAGTCCTATCAACACTTCGAATAAAGTTTTTCCATATGGAAGATATCTGAGGCAATTTAAACGACAATTTACATGCATGTAGCACAAACATACAAAACATATTTTAATTTTGATAAATCAGTGATTATTTTAGTTCTCCTTAATGTATGTTTGTTACATGTATTTAAAAATTCTTACCAAAAATATCATTCAGAAATAAACATCTTTAGCCAAATGAATGCTTCATTAATGTTTCTCTCTAATAATCATATAAAATAATAGCAACACACCTAGAAAAATTGTTGGGATTGTGACTCTGATCCATAAAAGAATCCAGCCGTTTGAAAAACAAAACTTTAAAACAAATATAAAATTTTTTACATCTCCATAGAAGATTACTGATAATCCTATTATAAAATAAAAAGTAGAAAATCTCTTAATAAATCAATGACCTGATATTACAAATTGATTTTGTCATTAATTACATAATTAAATTTCATTTGTTCTGAGTTTACTAGCTGCCAGCTTTATGCCTACAAACTTTTTAATCTTATTAAGTTAATCCAATTAAAATCTAGCTGAATTTTCATTGATTTTGTAAGGGGGGGGGGGGGGGGGGGGAATAGTATTTGTATCAAGTTTACCATATTAATTTTTATCTTAAAAGTGTTTTCATTTATTTTATAAAAAATTATCAATATAATTACCCATAATTTCTTTCATCGTTGCATATAAGTATTTGATATTAATATATATAGGCTTAAAATTCAATCTAATATAAAAGACTTTAATCATGAAGTAAATACATTTTGCATATATACTTCTGTAATTATGTATATTTATGAGACTTAGGAATGTCAAACATATTTCATTCTATATGTGCCTGTTCGGGCTGGTAAATCACCTGTCGTAATTGGTTGCTGTCTGTAATATTTGTTTAACATTTTTTGTCTTGTTTCAAATCAGGCAATCAATTTTAGTTTGAATTTTTTTACATTCTATATACAGTTATATACCATTGCTCATTGTTGAAAACCATACAGTGACCCATATTTGCTTGCTTCTACGTCATTTGGGCTCTGGTTAGCATTTGTCTCGTTTGTGATCTTACCTCATCTTCTTATATTCATATTCCTTTTTTCTAATACTATATTTTGTCCAGTATTGAACATGTAAAAACTGAAAGTCTGGAATATTAACTGTAAAAAAAATCGCTTTTTATGAAACAAGCAGTTATGTTTACTTGTAAGTATTACACTACTTGGTAAAGGAACCTTCCTTTAATTCAGAAAACTTATTGTACAAGATAAGATCACTACAATACAATGAAGTGAAAGCGCCTTAACTCACTGGCTTAACTGTATATTTACTTGATCTGTATGGAATTTGATGGTTAAATTTAGTGTTGATTTAACAATGACTATTTTCAAACATTGACTAGATGAGAATTTACAAGACACTCAACTTCCACTAAAAACATTGTCAGTCAGAGAGAAAAAAGTTATTTGACACTGAGAATTATCATATATTTAAAAATCTTTAACAATTTTAATTGGTTTAATGGCCTGTTTTTGTTTAAGATTAATACAGATTAGAGGCAGGGCTAAGGATTACAATGTTTGGAATGTATTTTAAAATATGAACAAGTTATGTATTAACATTTTTGAATGACAGCCAATAAAATCATAATCTGAGTGTCAAACATTTGGTTTTTCAAATGAAATTCATTATGTATATTATTTCACTGCTTCCCATTGTCAATGACCAAGAGAATAAAACTAAAAAATAAAGTTTAAACTTGCATCATGGTATTTAATGTGCCTACACCAAGTTTAGAAATTGCTTCCTGGATGAATATGACAATTGCAATTAATATAGTAAAAGGATTTTTTTTCACTAGTATTATACAAATTGTCCACAATTTCTCATGAAATCAAGCTTAAGGCAGTCTAGAATTAAGGAATAAAAGTACAAAATGTAAATACTGGTATTCCTATTCTAATGCATTATATAAACATGTAGTGCTAGTACTGTTATTCCTATTCTAATGTAGTACATTACTATAATTCCCATTCTAATGTAGTACATTACTATAATTCCCATTCTAATGCAGTACATTACTATAATTCCCATTCTAATGTAGTACATTACTATAATTCCCATTCTAATGTAGTACATTACTATAATTCCCATTCTAATGCAGTACATTACTATAATTCCCATTCTAATGTAGTACATTACTATAATTCCCATTCTAATGCAGTACATTACTATAATTCCCATTCTAATGTAGTACATTACTATAATTCCCATTCTAATGTAGTACATTACTATAATTCCCATTCTAATGTAGTACATTACTATAATTCCCATTCTAATGTAGTACATTACTATAATTCCCATTCTAATGCAGTACATTACTATAATTCCCATTCTAATGTAGTACATTACTATAATTCCCATTCTAATGCAGTACATTACTATAATACACCTTATCGCTATTTAGTCCAATCCGGAAAAAACAGTCATTTAGACAACTTCCTGTTTGGGTCAACAGGCCGCAAACAAAGGTCATCAGTAACGAGCTTAGGGAGGGAAAAATTTAGAAAGTGATCAATAGGAAACTTTGATAGATTATAATCCACTTTTTCCAAACTCAAATTATAGTCAAAAAAATATTGTGTTTGGAGTATTTACGATGTTTTAAACAGGTCTCATTAAAAAGTATTATGCATGGTGCATTGTTTAAACAGGGTCCCAGATAGCGTCAACTGGATGAAAAAGTTGTGTAATTTTAGAACTTATCCGGAATGGAATAAATAGCGATTAGGTGTATTCCCATTCTAATGCAGTACATTACTATAATTCCCATTCTAATGTAGTACATTACTATAATTCCCATTCTAATGCAGTACATTACTATAATTCCCATTCTAATGTAGTACATTACTATAATTCCCATTCTAACGCATTACAAAAAGAAATACAGTCGACTATCGTTATCTTGAGGTCAGTCCGACCAGAAAAATATTTTCAGATACCCGTAGTTTGACTCAAATGGATACCGGAAGTTTGAGAGACCAAGGGACACAACTCTTGCTTAGCATAGTAAGGCTAAAATAAATCCTGATGAATTTGGGAAGGGGATCTGTATTCTGGTCTTTGATCGATGTATCTGAATGTAATGTTCTTTAATTATTATAATAAAATTATATGAATTTTTGTCTCAAATTTATTTCTTTGTACAGTTACAATTTTTCCCGTAGTTTTTAGCCAAAAAAGTAATTTCCAATTGATTTTAGCGTGATTTATATACATGAGATTTTAGAAAATTTTTGCAATACCCTAAACCTTGACAAAATGTATGAATTTAAAATGAAATAAAATTCTGTGAAACTTCATGAATGATTTTGGTGCATTAATGTTAGGGCAAAACAAATTTTCGCACTGACCATTACTTCTTGTACAATTTAAATTTGGAAAATTTCTCATTAAAGTAGGTAGGA